TTAAGCATATGCTTACACTAAATTTCTATGAATTTTAAGGCTATAATAAGCCTACGATTCATAAAAAAACGTAAGCTTTATGATATAGACGTCCGATTTTAACGCAATTTAAACCGTAAATCTAAAATACTTAACCATTCCTACATTTTGAAGAGCTGAAAAAATAAATTAAAAAAACCACAGTTTTAATTGATTTTTTCCGATTGTTCCTATGGGAGCTATATGCTATAGTCGTCCGATCCGGCTCGAAATACACTTATAATCCGATTAAAATGTTTAGTAACAATAAAATTGAAAAACACAAAACACACTAAAAATCCGATTAAAATGTGTAATCAACCCAAAAATGTGTCCACCTGCATTGCCATCGCTGCTAGCTTTTCTTCTTTCAGTTTCAAGTGACACAATCCTGAAACTCGGTGTCTATCGCTTTGTTTTTGCCAGAATGTGAAAGGCTTTCAGACTGCAATTAGCCTGCAGCCAAAACGACACTGGGCAAACACGGAAACATTAAGAGGGAGGCTACTGCCTCCATAATCCGGTCCAAAAAGGAGACATTCCTGCAATGGCACTGGTCACGCACTCTCGTTTGGCATTCATAAATCGCTTACCCAACTGAAATCTTAATCAGATTTGTGCAGCAATTTTGATGGCATTTGGCAGATCCTGCCGACCTGTCCGTACCGTAAATAGCAATTTGTCGAACGGGCAACCAGCAAGCAGCAATCTGGGCTCTTGGCCAAATTTAAACGCATTTTATCGGAGAATTTGCAACTTTGATTCTCATTGTCAGTGTTTCTCCGGTCTTTGAACCCAATCGCATAAATGCCTGCAATTAATATGGCCAAACTAATTTCATTAGATTGGCAAATACGCATAAGGCAAACGCCGCCACGTACTCACTAACCAGCTGTTTAGTCAGTTAATTAAATTTGATTTGACCACCACACACAAAGGCCACTCTGCCTTCAATTATGCAAGAGACACTACATTTCAGGTAGCGCTTTTAGTTTCAATTACCCTTGCAATGCAACTGAAATTGCACTAAATTATTCAGAGTGTGGTCTAATGGAAAACTGAGCTTCTCAGGTAATTCAATGGCATAGATAACAGATGGACACTGGTCAAGGCAACTAATGGAACGAGAAAGCGAGACTTTTTGCCAAAGGATTGAGACAGATAGTCGTTGAGATTAAATTAAGCTTGAGTCATTTGGTACATTCCGAATTTTAAAGAAGAAAACTAACAAATTTTAAACTAAATATTTCCCCACAAAACAAAAAAAAACAGAGGTTTTTAGTGTTTCGTGATTTGTGGTCGTAAGAGTGAACGTGGCTCATTTTTAAAAAAACACGCGCTGCTTAGGAAACACTGGAATCTCCATGACAAATGAAAAAACTTTTGGTTCTATAGTTTCCAAAATCTCGACCATCATACAGACGGATAGACAGACGGACATGGCTAGATCAACTAGGCTATTGATCCTGAGAATTGATCTTGATCTATTGATCAAGAATATATATACTTTATAGAGTCGGAAACCTTTCATTTAACTTGTTACATACTTTTCAACGAAGACGAGTAACGGGTATAAAAAAGCAATAGCAAATAATTAAATTAATTAATAAGTTTATGGTTGTATATAATATACTTTATATAATAACTTTGTTACCAGGACTAACTGCTTCGATTTCTCAATACCGACTTTAATAACAATAATAGTTAATGCTAACTTATATAAACAAATAAATACTGAATACCGACTTGAATTTAGTAATAATAACAATAGTAATTGTTAATCTTATAATTATAATAATTAATCGAAATGTTTGACTGAAATCCTAAGTGCGACATTAAAATATTGCCTTTAGTTCTATAAGTTTAATTTTTTTTTCGACAAAATACACATAAAAACTTAAGGCTTTACAGTTATATTAAGTTATGCTGGCCAAACTTTCTAGTTAAATAAAATCTGAGCTAAACAATTTTTTCCGCCCTTAAGTTCGTGCCATGACTTCCCCTTTCCATTCAACTTTTTGTCACTGCAGGCAAACATCATAAAACCCTTGGAAGGTTTTTATTTACCACCCTCTCCATAAAGAAAAAAAACATAAAACACTTGACCGCTTGACCTAAATTTCCCAACCAGAGCAGGATCAACGACTCTCGTTGACTGTCCCTTTTGGCCCGGTCAAAAGTCAAATGTCAACAAAACAAGCGGAGGAGAACACGAGAAATGTTTTAAAAATTCCAACACGTAGGCAATTTCTGGATGATGCGCATAAAACAAGCTTTGAGTTCGAGCAGCGAGAACTATGAAAGTAAATTCACTATGGAGAAGGGTTATATCTGAGTCGCCTCATTAGACACTGGCAGCAGTCATGATTTCCACTCAAGCAATCTTCTCACATAACTTGGCCCGAGGCTGGAATTGACGTAAATTGATTTGAGCCTCTGATAAATTTCGAATGCCTGGAGGGCTGTTTCAACTGCCACCTGCCTGGAAAATTAAAGATTGCCAAGAGTTGACTTGTAGTGATGCCAAGTTAGCGAATTCATCTTAATAAGGTTCAAAAACAATCAGAAAAAAAAAATAGAAATAAAAATAATGTTTTAAGAATCAAATCAATGTCGTTAAAAAATTTGTCTTAAAATTAAAAATAATGTTTTAAGACTTAAATCAATGTCGTTAAAAAATTAGTAATACAATAAGGGGGTTCCTTGGAATTCACTAGATTTTTGAAATTACTTAAAAATGTGTCCCACTCTTATTTATAAGCTTTATAAAAATCATCAACAGTTTTGCAAAGAGTAGTTTATTTGTTTTTTTTTTTCTCAAACCTAAGCAAATTGAACATTAGAAATTCTACAGATTCAGTGACACTAACGGATTTTTGGGTCGATTTAACGAAACTGTAAATTATTCTTAGCTATTTCGAGGAGTTCTTTTTTTAATCCTTGGCTGCCATCACTGTTGCCTGCTGCTTTTTGCTGTTAGTGTTGATAAGCTCCAGGCTCGCACGTACAACATTTTAGCACACTATTTGGGTTGCGGGATGGCGGGAATATCCGCCCTAGAAATGTGTCAATTTGGCGTCAAAGACGTTGACGGAACAACAACATGTTTACATTAGCAATAAAGTACCATCTGAAATTCAAGATGGGCCAGCTGCCATCGAGGGAAGGGATGGGAAGGGAAGCGAAGTCGAAGTCCTTAGGTGTTTGCCAGCGCCTCACGTACTCATGGATGTTAGAATTAAGGGGACTCTTCTCCTTCCAAAACAAGCCAAGACCAGCCAGACAATAACTATAATTGTCGCATCAGCATTTTTTCCGGCCTCTGCCACAGCCTCAGCCTCAGTCTCAGAGCCAAAAAGTATGCAGTAAAACGCGTCAGTCATGATTCGGATTCCGGGAAGGAGGAAAATTCCATTAAACCGACTCAGACAGAGACGCAGACAATGCTTGAAGGCTCGTCAAGCGAATCCATTTGTAGCTCTGCCACCGACTTCTGCTTCCTCGTTCTGGTTCTTTGGTCCTGGCTGAGCTGTGAGGGGCATATATAAAATTCTTAAATTAAAGTCAATTCCAAGACAAGTCGTCTGCCGTGGAATCAGATGTTGATGATGGGAGGTTTTGCAAAGGGGGGGACACAAGTCTTCAGCCTGAAGTGAAAGTTAATGCTGATTAGGAAAATTGAAGTGATAATGCGAAAGGCAGTGTGTGGGGCATTTGCTTAAAGTAATGTCGTTTAAATAAAGGGGAAAAGCATACGGTTTACAGGTTGAAATAATCGGAAGATTAGCTAAAATATTAATCAAGCAAAAAAAACTCCTCTTAACGAGGTAAAAAAAAAGTGACGGTTGCACCTTGGACAAACTAAATTTCTGATAGCAATTTTCGGGACGCTTTATTGAAGCTTCAGTAACTTCCTCATTTAACTGAATGTTTTCCATTTCTCCGGAACCAAATGACTTTCTAAACCTTTTTTTTCACAAACTCTTGTGAAAGTGAAACCTTTTGATTGCTAAATCGTTTATTTATTAGGATCGGACTATTCTTTGCTGATTTACAATATTTCGGCTATATATAGTAGTCTACTTGTGCGTCGTCACTAGGTGGACGGCTATCCACAGTGCTAAAAAATAGTTTATTTTTCAGTAACATGAGAATGTTATTGCTTAAACGTTAAAATGTAAAAACTTTGTTTTTAAATGCCAAAGCAAAACATTTTTTTTTTATTTTTAGTTCTATTGAAAATTGTTATTCAAAAATTTCTTATTTTGAAAACTATAATATTTCAAGATAATGATACATCCGATTTCGTGCTGTCTAACACAAGCGAAGCAATTTTTTTTACACATTTTATCTACAAATTGTGTTGCCTAGGTTCGATTTTCCATTTTGGAAAATGAAGCAATAAATGCTTTTCTCCCCCTCTTCAATGACCTCTTTGGAGATAAACAACCGAGTTTCCAATTTCCAGCATTAATTAACAATTTGGTTCACTTGGCACTCAGAGTGGGAATTTGTAAGCTATTTCGGGCACAATAGAGAGGTGGCACCCAGGTCCAGGGAATCCCTGTATCAGCTGGCTGCAGACTGGACAACGTTTATTTTACGAGAACATTTTAATCTAATTTAGCACACTTTAGATTTATATTTGCTTAAATAGAAGTTATCTGAATGGCACGTGCCGGGCATAACAAAGAGGCAACAACAAAGGGAAGCGCTTGTGGTCAACTGCCAGTAGAAGATGTGGCCAAAAGGGCAACAAAGGATCCAGAAAAGCAATTTTATTATAGTTTATTTCGTTGGTAGCTCCTTTGGAATATTTCGGAGACGTGTTGCAGTTGCCTCGAATGCATTTGCAACAATCCAATTGCACCGCAATTGCAATATCCTTAGAGGAGAACGTTCCCCGCTTAAATGCAATCAATTGTGGCAATTGTTCGTCCTTTCAAGGCTGCCAAAGGATAACCTTGTGAGCGAAAGGAAACTTAGCCATAAACCCGACGTAGAAGGGTGAACAACGAGTAGATGGCGTTTAAAAGAGATTGTAACATTTTCAGGTTCATGGGGTATGTGCCACCAACCAAAATCTAGAGAGGAAATATTGGTTAATAACAAGACACAACTCAGTAAATATATAAAAGACTTCACCGCCAAGGGCTTTTGTGAACGCATTATGAGAAACTTCAAAGTCTTTTGTGTGTCCACATCAAAGTCCATCCAATTGCTCTCATAGGCAGCAATGGCAATATCAAAACTCTAAAGGAAAGTTGGGAAGTTAATGGTGTTTTAAAAAAAAAATAGAAGGGAAACTCTTACTTGAAAGTACAGTTCATTGGCCACGTAGTAGAGAACTACGCTATTGGCAAATATCATTACCATGTATGCAATTACTATGACGGTCTGGGCAATTGTTTGAGCCTGTTGGGAGGGTAATAAATAATAATTAAAATATAAACTTATTATTTATAATTATTCCCCAACACCTACAATCAAAAGCGAAAAAAGTAGAACACATAACATGGCCCCAAAGCATAAGAACTCAACCAGGTGAAGATGGGTATTCAAGGCATTCATGGAGTCCACTAATCTGTATATGGAAAAAGCATTAAATACTATTAATAAATACACTTTTTAATACTCTTACCCTGTTAATTTAAGCTGATATTTAATGCACCCAATAATTTCCCCATGAACTTGGTCTTCTTTCAGCTTTTCCAGGCTCCTCAGCTTATGTTGCAGAACTCGACACATGAGTATGGCAAAAAGGGTAAAGGTCACTACCATATTTGAATAGGGAATGTACATGCAACAGCCCATGGGAGCCATAATGCCTTGGATAACAAAGAAAATCTCATAATACGGAGATGCGTACTTGTACTCATCAATCGTGGGCAAATACATGCCATAAGGCAGTACTAAATATGTATGAAAACATAAAAAATATAAATAAAGATCTAGGAATAGCGCACTACTCACCTCTTTCTGATCCAAAAATGGGATAGGTAACAAAGCCAATGCAAGTGCAACAGCCCATCATCAAATTAACTCTTCCTATGAAAACCGAAAGGCGTGTGGTCTCTTTAACCAGTGAGATAATAAAAGGATCTTCCGATTCCTATAAATTGCAATTCTTATAAAAAGTATGACCTTAAGATACTTTTCTATGCTTACCAATAATTCTATATAGAAGCTTTTCAACATCTCAATAAATCGCTCATAACTGGAACGCTGCACACACAACAAAACACCTCTTACGATGGTGTTGGTAAACAAAACAGCCAGATATACATTTCTGATAATAAAATCCAAGGATTCGGTGCTCAGATATATATCCACATACTGAGTGCAGTTAATAATCATGTATGGAGCCATTGCCACATATCGACGCCAATTGTGAACGAAGAGATACGACCAGAATTTCATTAGCTTTAGAGTACTCCCGAAAATGGGCATATCCACTGTTTCCATCGATTTCAATTCCATACTGCCGTTGACAATATCCACAGAGGTGTGAATTACACAGGCAATACGAGCTTCATTTTATAGGTATCCCAGTGATTAGGGGTGGGATTTGTATGTCTTGTAGTGATGTCATCATTATTAGCATTTAATTAATGGCCTTCCGACGTGATTATGGGAGGGCAAATGTGTTAATTAGCCCGCTAAAGGCTGTTATTAGAGGTGTAAAGGATACAATTGTATTTCGAGGGTGAAGTCCTTCGATGACAATTTAAAGTCTCAAACAATACAGTCACTTTAATTTTATTTACCCAAAGTGAACGTTCTTTAAGAAGCTTACTTCTCAAAAGGTTCCTTGGACTACTTAACTTCATTTAACCAATACCCAGAGAAGCAACCACAACATCTTCATTTTTCATGGCAGCCCCTCAGTGGTCCGATAAAAAATCTTAATCGGTGGCAATTTGTTTGAGGCCCTGCTGAAGGAACCCACAGAAATACCAAAACCTCAAGCAAACAAAAGGCGTTCAAAGGGCAACCTTTTTCATTAGAACCCCAAGGAGCCGAACAAAACCCACTACATATGTTCCAGACTCACAATCTGTGTGCCAATTACAAGTTGTAGACCCTCGACTTCTTTGAACTTTGAACTAACAATGGAGTTGGTTCACAAATATTTATGGCCAAGGGAACTGAATCATTTGTCATTAAGTTGGGAATTCCTTTTATTACTAAGATCGAGAATCTTAATTGAGTTGCAATTGGAAATATCTTTGAGTGGACAAAGCAGAGAAAATATATTATCAATCACACAAGTTATTAAAGAAAAGAAACTAGCAGCTTAATTACATTTTAACTTGGCTGAGAATGATAAATTGCGTATACGCCCTGTGTTTACCCGAGTTTCGCTGTCACTTAAGCTTTATATCAAGGTGTTACTTACGCTTGATTTGCTTTATGATGCATGTGACCATCTTCTCCCCTCGTTTTTCAGTCTGGCAGCTGTCTTAATATGAAACTTAGTTAGTCGGTTTCAAAACTGCACTGCGAAAAGTTTTCCAGGGCTTAGAGCGGAATTTTTAACGTATTTGGCAGTTAGTTTTTACGTCGGCCAATTATAATTTTAATTGGCTGAACGTGGCCATTAACAGAGGCAACTATAAAAGGCATAAAGACAATGGTTGGAAATTTCTTCTTCCACTTGCTGTGAAAATATCTTAATATTATCCGATATGCTTTAAGTGTTTCCGAAAAGCGAAAAAAGTAACGGAGAATTCGAGGAAAACAAGCTGCAGGGCGCACCTTTTTGCGAAAGCGGAAACTAACAAGCAAAAAGGACGAAACATTTGAACTTGTATCTCGTATCTTGTATCTGCGACGGGGAAGCACTTAACACGCGTTATGAGGAGCTGCCGTCGGGGATTGGGGCAAATGCAACGAGCTTGCAACTTTTCCTAGCTGCTAAGTAGGAAAATCGCTTCCAGACAGTACAAAAAAAGGGCAAGGAAACTACGTGTCATATGACAAGTGAAATGTGCGCAAAATTACTTGTTTAGTTGCGGTTAAGACGCCTCAGACTTGGCCCCACCTTCCATGGGTCTTGTGTTTGCCAGACCAACTATACAGATATTTGCATTTCTTGAGGTTTGCTTTATGAATTGCGCTAGTGGTGGTGTGGATGCGCAAGATAAACATTTGCTAAGACCGCTGGAGAAACCAACAGAAATTTGTGGCGAAACTAAATTAGAGGCGACGATGAACAGGAGAATTTAATAAATGGAAATAGGTTTTATTAAATTCTGTTCAGTAGCAATTTTTATGCCTTTCACGTTGTGGCTGTTTTCGTGGAAAGAAAAGGCATCCCTCAAGGCAGGGCAAGAGGAAAGTTTGTGCCACTTTTCTGTTTCTTGCCATTGTTGTTAGCCTCTTTTCCCTTCCCCATAAATATACATATACATATACATATACATATACATACATATTCCTCAGGGGATGTCATTTGGAGGCGGCAAGTGTAAAAATTAAGCAGTCGGGAGGCGAGGCAATGAGTGAGATAAAATTACATGGGAGGGTGTTTGGTTGGAATGCGAGCAGTGGTGGCTACAAGTAATTGTAAAGTATGCTAAGAGGCGTGGCATGGCAGCCTCAAGAGATGCGTTTCCTTTTTTTGCGTTTTGTCTTCACAAGATACAAAGGAAGCGGCAGTGAGCGGAAAATGTGGCACAAGGTTGATTCAGTTTTCCATGTGGGTAATTAGTCTGAGTTTTACCCCTCAACAGTGGCTCACACAGAATTCAAGTCCAATCCATGATCACAGTCATTTTGCTTTTCATGGAGAATCTTGTTTGCGTTTTTTCGAAACCCACTTGCGTAATGTTGAGAAACTTTTTCAATCTAAAATTATCAAAGCAAACATCAAAGTTGACACAGCAGCTAGAACAGCGACAACAAATTAGTAAAATGGGGGAAAACCGAAAAGGAAAAGAGGAAAAAACTGTCAACATGAAAGGGACACTCAGTAAAAACTTTCACAAGCCGACGCACAACAGACATTTTCACACCTCATGAGTGGAATTTAAATTTCTGCCTCGCAGAACTTTCTTGACGTGCGACACTGTATGTTTGTTTGTTACTCATCCGCCCCGTGTGTCGCTGGTGCTGGTGTCTGTAAAATTTCATATCAATTTCGTTAGGATTAAGTTATATTTTAGTGCTTGCCAAGGTGTTTATAGCAAGTTGAGTGTGTGCTTTCCCTGCTGAGATTTTGAGCACGTGCTAGTCCTCAGGGCTTTCACACTTTGGTTGTTTTCGCTTTTTTAAGCCGAGTGGAGATATTCATTCGAACCAAAATATTGAGACAGCCTCATGTGCTTGTGGAAAACAAGAAAACGCTTTTGGATCATGATATGCTGCGTGTAAGAAAAGAGAATAATTCGAAAATATTATAATAGAAATGCAAGTAGAAATAAATGTGACCACAACATAAGTACTTAGAAAATTACATATCTTAATAAGTATAAGTAAGGCTAGCAGCGGAAAATATTAGTGGAAGGCTTAGAGTTTTTGTGTGATTTCTAAAATGCCATAAATAAAAAATACTACTTTCATTTCTTATACTGAAGTTTTTTTTCCAACTCATATTATTTATCAGCCACACACATTTTCACCCCTCGATTTGCCGCATTGTCATTTCATCATATTGCTTAATTCAATGAGTTTTGTGAGTGAAACGACACACATGTGAGTATGTACTTACCTAAAGCTCCATGGACCCATGGACTTACAAATCATAAAAGTCATGACCCGGACAGTTCATTAAAAATTCGGCCCAGAGCAGCAATTGCCGTACAAAACGGGCGCATTACGGCAGTGGGGGCAGTGTTGGGAGTCCAGGTCCACCAATTGCGAACCCAAATCCCGATTCACAGCATGACCGGCATATAATTCAAACACGTACCAATACAGTGCTATATGTATATAGAGCTCGGTACACACGATGGTCCTGGGCAAAACGATTTGGCCAGCGGTAATCAGGCAATTTCATATGAATAAGTAAGCAGGCAATGCCGCCTGAGTGTATGCAATAAATTTCGTTGTATTACGAATGCGACGCCGGCGCTTCTTATGAAAATTTTAAAAGCCGCCAAACTATGCACCCGACTGTGATTGCTTCCATCCTGCCCCCCGTCCGTCCCACCATCTCTGTCCCTTCTTGCCACCCGCAGCCACTACAAGCCAGAACAACAGGAAAATATAAATTTATTACTACGAAACGTGCAGGAGGTGGCCGAGTCAAGGTGTTTATTACTTATTTAGAGCAGCAACGCCTCCAAAACTCCTAGGGAGCGAAACAGGGCCAATGCTTCTCAGATAAGAGAAATAGCTGGCAAGTCATGCAAGATAGTAAGAATAGCGATACTCTTTCAACTTAGGTTTTTGTACAAAATAAAAAAGTTATTTTTTATATTTCCTAAATTAATATTGTCAGGTTTAACTTCACAAATTATAATTTTTAAAACATTTATATTGTATATATTTTGGTTTCTTTTAAATTCAATAATATATGAATCATTATTATAATGTAAATTTTAATGAAAGTAAATTTAAAACTTTATGCTCTTTATATTTTGGTAAGAATATGCATTTATTTTTTATATATATTCTTATATATATAATTTTATATATATCTATAATTTTAGTAAGAATTCTATAATAATTTCTGATTTATGTTTTATTTTAAATACTTTTGTTTCTATTTGTTTGTTAGTTAATAGTCATTTTTCTAAAAAGTATTTTAAAACTCGCCAATTTTCAGATTTTGTGGAAGTATATTTCGAATAAAATGTACCATTCAAAATTTTCTGAATCACATTAAAATAAAGAATGCAGTTTAATTAAGGTTATGCCTTAGCCTATTTCCAAACAAGTCTTGTTTAAAATGTTACAATTAATTAGTGAGAATAACTATTTGGAATTCGATATATTGTTGATAGATGTTCTTATAGCTCTAGTTCTAAATATTACCTTATTGACCACTCATACGTCATACCGCAGCCACAATACCCACATTGTACATTGTACAGGTAACTGAAGTTCGTTCCCCTCACAGCGGGAAAGGACTTGAGCTACTTGACGGGGAACCCCGCGTAGAGAACGTGCCTGAGGCTTTGGCGCCATCAAGTGGCAATCGAGGACCTCTCCGAAGACTTGAATATTGGAACGGATGGAGGGCGATCGTAAGGCGAGGCGGCGACCTGCTGCCACTAAACATTTTAATTAGAAAATTTTGCACAGCCAGTTGAGCCGACCACAAATCCAATTATCAAGTAATTATGCATTTAATTTGGCACAGCGGTGAGGTGTATGAGGCAGACTCTTCATGGGGCAGTCATTAATGCAGATGGCTAGCCATCAAATCAGCTCAACTCGACGCCCAACAAACTACGCCCACATGTGTGTATGCAAAATAACACAAAAAGTTTTTGCCGCATAACTTTGGGCGCCAAGGCTTGAAAATTTCAATT